GGAAGGGCTCTCATGGGGTGGATCCTGATCCTACTGCCAGGGGGGCTCCTTAAGCAGATGAAGCTGCACAACTATTTCGCTTATGCAGAGGGCCTAGTCCAGTCCCTTGGAGGCTCTACAGGTATTGGTCTAAATTCCATGGGTTTCCACTAGTTTGGTTTGGTTGTTGTCTCCATCATCTTAGTGCTCCTTGCTCATAGAATCTTTCTGTAGGGAAGGAGGGAGCAGGGTTGGCAGGCATGGGGATATAAGAGCATACAGAAGAAGTAATCAAAATGTATTCTATATGTAGATCCATAAAATTATCAAATGAAATTATTAATAATTTTTTCCTATTTTCCCTATTGAGAGAACATCATACCCTGTAACATGGCCCAGGAGATGTTTGAAAATTATAGGTGTTTTTAAAGGGCCATATAAAAATGTTTCTTTATAGGACAGACAGACCTCATCACATGGCAGCACCATCAAGAAGTAATATTTTAATAATAACTAAATAATCAAAGGCTATTTTAAACAAGTCTCCAACTTTTACAAATTACTACTATCACCTAAAACTAAGATAAATTCTCCAAGTAGTATCCACTATGTAAAGCTATAAGAATAACTTGTCTTGTTACTTCCATATAATTATACAAAATACTATTACTATGAATTAACAATATTCAACAAAAAAGATTCAATAAATCAATGCCCTCTTTATAGTATTGTTCTCAAGCCTAAACAAGCACAGAAAATATGAAATTAACTTTTTTCAAGTATATTGTGAAGACCATTCCGTGGTGATATTGTGTCTCCCAAAATATTGTGCACCCTAATAAACTTATCTGGGTTCAGAGAACAGAACAGCCACTAGATAGGCATAGAGGCCAGTAAGTGGTGGCACACATACCTTTAATCCTATCACTCAGGAAGTAGAGATCCATCTGGATCTCTGTGACTTCAAGGCCCCACTGGGAACAGAGCCAGGCATGGCGACACACCTTTAATCCCAGGACAGGAGATCTCATGTCTTGCTTGGGAAAGACACATGCCTTTAATCCCAATAAGTGATGGCAGGAAGCAGAAAAGTATATAAGGCATGAACTAGAGGCTTTTAAGCTTTTAGGCTTTTAAGCAGCAGTTCAGCTGAGATCCATTTGGGTGAGGACTCAGAAGCTTTCAGTCTGAGGATTCATGGAAACAGGATCGGATGAGGAGTTGTCGAGGTGAGGTTGGCTGTGGCTTGTTCTGTCTCTCTGATCTTTCAGAATTCACCCCAATACCTGGCTCCAGGCTTGTTTTTATTAGTAAGACCGTTTAAGATTCATGTTACACCAATCATTGTCACAGAAAATGTAAATTTGAATTCAGCTTATTCCAAAATAATATTGCCTATGCTCACTTTCAGACACAGCTGTTTAAGGAGCAAGATGGAGCCTATGTCTCCTGGTACATTTTACACATAGATTATGGATTGGTCATCCTTATTGGCAATCAAGCAAGATTCTTCTCCAGTGAACTGAAAAAGGCAGCAAACTCACAGTATTTTCCAGATAAAGAAAAATGAGTGAAGCTAGGATGAAACTGATGCCAATTAAGACAGTTGGGCAGATTTTGTGCTATCTAAATCATTTATAAATTAAGGCTTGTAATTTTCAACCATGTTTTAACTTTTATCTTATAATTGATGCTATTTTTGTGCTAGCTCACAATTCTGAGGGTATTCGTGTAAATTATATAAAATGCACAGGAGTGTGTTCATTAAACCATAGTCTTTTCATTTGCATTCCCATTCTGTCTGTCCATTTCGTTCTTGAGAGCATTATGTATGTGTCAAAAGAAACCCTTTCTTGAGGTGTTAATTACATACAAAAGAAAAACCAACTGTGAAAGGATTTTCAACATTTAAGTACATCATGGTTTTAGTCTTCAGTGCTTTCTTGTAAATGATGGTGAAGTGTTAAGAACTTGGCAGACACAATCATGTCATCACCATAGCCTATGCCCTCAGACATAGTGTAGATGTAGACATATATATGTGAAAAGCCTCTTTAATTGTTAAAGAGGTTGCCACTATTAAAGACAAGCATGGCCTTCTGCACGTGGACAACCAGAAAGGTACCCATTATGCCATCTCTTGTCATACAACTCTATTCATTCATTCTGAAGGGGACACTCCAAACTAGGAATTCCACTGAATGGGGTTCTTTGCTCAAAATAACCACCCGCAGTCAACACACAAGGGCCAATGCCACTGTGGTGTCTGGGGATCAGGCTTCATCCTTAGATGGCAGCAGAACTTGGCAGCATTATCCACGTGTTATCAGTTTTGTCCGAGTAAAGGATGAAGGATTATATGGGTCATGGAATCTTGTACCAGGGCTCTAGAGAGACAGTGAAGTAAAGCTATATGGGCTAGGGTCAGAGTTCTGACAAGAGGCCCCAAAAGGCCATTGCATGAAACTGTGAAAGAAAATGAAGGTTAATTTGCAGTGGAGAAGCTAGTATTTTGGAGATTCCAGGACCGTGGGACATTGTTGCATTATTTTCTTTTCTCTTACTATAACAAAACATCCTAACAAAAAGCAACTAAGGAGAGAAAGGGGTTTATTTTGACATATAGTTTCAGAAGGATAGAGTCCATCATTGTGGGGTAGGCATGGTAACAGACGCAGGAAAATCTGGCTGATTACATTCCATATGCATTCAGGAAACAGAACAGAAAATGAGGACAAGTTCAAAACCTCAAAGTTTGTTCTTAGTGACTTACTTCCTACAGTCACACTATACTTTCATAGAGTCCATAACCTTCCCAAACTACACTGATAGTTAGGAGTCAAATGTCTAAACACATGAGCCTATGGTAGATACATCATAGTCAAACCACAACAGATGTCTGCCAAGGATCACTAAAAGCAAAGAGTAAAGTCAGCCTCCCAAAAGAGGTGCTGTGCGTTGCCAGCATAATAAATGCAGTATTCAGTGTTTGTCCTGCTGGGTTTGGGTCTTACATTGACCAACTCATTTCTCACTATGCACATTTATCTCTTTTGGAATGGAAATGTTTACTCTTTGCCATTGTATATCGGAATTATGTAACTTGGGTTTTTTGTTGTTTTGTTTGTTTGTTTGTTTGTTTATAAGAGCTCTCAGTGAAGAAATTGCCTTGAAATGTGTTGACACATGGACCTTTGCTTTTAAATGGTTTTGGAATTGTTAAAGACAATCAGGACCTAGGAAGTTGGATGAATTTTGAATTATGAGAGGACCATGAGCTGACGAGGGACAAGGGAAGATAAAGTTATGGTTTTAAAGTGGTGTGTTTGATTTCAGATTAAGAAGGGGTGGAGCTGTGATGGTTAATCTGGATTGTCAAATTGGTGAGATTTAGAATCTTCATAGAAACAAATCTCTGTATATGTTTGTGAGGGATTATCTAGATTAGGTTAATTGAGGTTACAAGACCCATACATACATATGGATGTTACTATTGTGTGGGCTGGGATTCCAGACTGAATACAAAAGTAAGCTGAGGACAAGCTTTCATCTCTTTCTGCTTCCTGGTTGTAGACACAAAGAGACCAATTTCCTCTTGCCCACACTGTCATGAATTTCCTGCCATGGTAGACTGCAAGCCAAATCAAATCCCCTGTAAGTCACTTTTGTCAGATTTTTTTTTCTCACAGTAAGGAGAACAGAAACCAACACAGAAGGGAAAATGACTAACCGTGGAAACGAAATGAGAATAATAAGAAATAAGGGAATCTAAGATTACTTGGAAAATCACTTTTAAAGAGATGAGTATTATGTTAGGGGTCTTACTAAAATAAAGAAGATGCTACAAATGACTTAGATGTGAATGAGTTTGATATTTTACTTACAAACTTTACTGTGATGCTGAACATGAGCCAGGATCACAGTGAACCAAGATAGAGATTTAAAGCACACCCCACAATTGTAAGAAGTATTACAGTTCAGCAAAACTGCTGCATGCTTTTGCTCACTTTTTGCCTGTCCTCCTGTTATATGTACATAATTGTGTCCTTGTTCACATGTGGGTTGGAGACATACACATGCACAAGTCACTTCCCATAATGCAAACACTGGGTATCATAGATTCCTTAAAAAACGCCAATGCGCCATTGACATAAAGTCCAAAAGGTTGCAGAACAGATGTAGGGTCATTCTCTGAGCTTCCCAAGCACCATAGCTGTGGAAGAGCCTGGTAGCACAGAAGCAGCCAAGAATCTATGTGTCTGTCATTGGATTTGGGGAAACGTCACTCCTTTGCAAATTTCCTTAATTCAAATTAAATGTTCCATGAAGCTATATTTGCCCCCATAGGGTGCCCACCTAGACTCTCCACAACAGAATCTCCTAAGAGCAGTCTGAGAGGGGAGGAAGTTGAGTGGGCTGAGAGCTGAGAAAAAATGTTCCAAAGCAGTATTAATGGGGGAAGAAGGAAGAGTAAGGATGGTGTCATGTGAACTAATGAACTCTGTCCCTCTACAGAGTGATCAGCTCTGTACCCTCTTGCACAGGGTTAAATTGCTTTTCTACTGTCATGTCATAAGAGGAAAATTACTAAATTCTGTGTGTTCTTCAGAATGACAAATGCAGAATTTCCACTTTATAGTGTGTAATGCTCCACTATGGTCAAACTAATCATCTAACTCCAAATATTCCCAGATAGATTTTTATGAGAAAGATAAATTGCTCACTAGAGTTGACTTTCTGGTAACCGTTTGAAATTTGAATTTATTTCAAGAGAATAAATCAATTTAGAAGTCAGAATAGTCAAGCCTTTATTTTTTCTGAAAATTATGAAGATGATACTAAGTAGATGGACTATGGCTTTTGCCTTTAAAAAATTTTAATTGCAAAACAATTTTCATACAATATATTCAGATCATGCTTTTCTCTTCCTCCAACTCCTCCCATATCTTCCCCACCTCCACACCCACCAAAATCCAACTCCACACCCCCTTTAGAAAACAAAACCAGAAAAGCAAATGACCAATGAGACAAAAAATGCCCCCAAAATCTACAAAATTACAGTTGAGTTCCTTTAATATTGGCCAGCTTTTCCTGGCCATGGGGCTTAATCTGAAGAGTGACTAATATACTCAGGGAGACTCTATTGGAGAAAACTAACTTTTCCTTTGCCAGTGGAATCAGCTGCTGACATTTTCTTGTCTAAGGGTAAGAGCCAGTTTCTGCTTCCCTCTCTCCATGCCTAGTCCCCATCTGGCTTCAAACTGTGTGGGTCCTGTGCACTCTGCCACAGTCTCTGTGCATTTATACATGTGTTTGGAAGACACTGTTTCCTTGGAGTCACCTATCACGTCTGGATCTTGCAGTCTTTCTGCCCCCTCTTCTACATAGATCTCTGAACCCTGAGGGGAAGGGTTTGATGGAGATATTCGATTTAGGACTGAGAGTCCCAAAGTCTCTTGCTCTATGCACATTATCCAGCTGTGGATCTCTGTGTTAATTCCCATCTGCTGCAGGAGGAAGCTTCTTCAGTGATGGCTGAGCAAGGCGCCGATCTATGATTACAGCAGAATGTCACTAGGAGTCATTTTAGTACTATGTTCCTTTAGCAAATATATAGTATTTGGTTTTCCCCAAGGTCCATAGTTTATCCAGTCTCAGGTTCTTGGGCACCATAGTAGTGTCAGGCATGAGTTCCATCTTGTAGAGTGGGCATTAATTTCAATCAGAGAGTGGCTGATCATCCCATCAACATTTGCACCACGATTGTATCAGCATATCTTGCAGGCAGCTCACCATTGCAGATTGCGGACTTTGTAGCTGGGTTGATGGTTACCTTTCTCCGCTCACAGCATGCAAAGCACCTTCCAGCACCATGGCACTAGTCGGTAGGGATGAAACCTCTAGTTAGGCATGAGCTTGGCTTCTCCACGTTCAATGAAATATGTAAGTGCTGTATTCAGCAATAGGGCCTTACTATCAGCTTGTGGAGAGCAACCAATAGAGTTGGTAATAACTGAGATGTTTGGGAGTTTCCATAGGACCTCTTTGGCTAATGACTCAACAAAACATAATAAATTCCTGGCAGCAGATGATTCACTTCATGGCATAAGATGTCTAATTGGAGGTATTATCTCCTCCCGTATTTGGTGAGTCCATTTAGAATCCTTTAATATATGTGTATGTATTTTAGAAAGTTTCTACAATAACAAGTTTCATATAGTTCCTCAAATGGCCCTTAGTATTACTTGTCTCCTCCATGTTCCTTCCCTTGCCATTCTCTTCCAGACCCCCCACCCCATTTCATTTTTCCGCTCCAGTCTACCCCAGCCTATTCATAACAATGTATTCTATTTCACCTTCCTTAGAAGATCCTCACCTCCCCCTCAGTTCCCTACTAGATACCTAAACTCTCTGGTTATACAGACTATAGAGCACTTTGGATAGACTTATTAGTATGACAGTAACTTATGAAAAAATGTTAATCTCAATTGAAAATATAATCAAGTGGAATTAATGCCCATTTGTGGACTCTGCTAAGCCCCGAGTAGGCTGTCTTGATTGCAAATTTGGAGACATGAATTTTAACCTATTAAAAACTGAAGACAATTTAATCAGAATTTTTCAGAGGAAAATATTGAAAATAGAAATACAAAATTGCATTAATATTTAAATTCTTTCATTTAAACATTGTCAGGCAGATACTAACAGAATAAGATTGAACTATAAATGAAATCTTTTTCTTCACACAGCCTTGGTTTTTATTTTAGCACTAAACTCAAGTCTAATTTTGCTCCCTCTTTAAGTTTGGATGAATAATATAAGCAGTCTCTTGTTGCATGCAGAGTTAAGGTAATTCATTATATGTTCTCAGGCATAATTAGCAATGGGGCAGAAAGAGGGCTTCTTAAGTGGAGAAGGCAGTGATGTGATTAGCTGAAGGCAGTCTGGCTACTGCAGGAATAGAGAAATACATACCCTGAGTACTGTGTAAGAAACAGAACTGTACAGAGAGAAGTTACAGGCTTGGGGGGAAGAAAACCATAAAAGGAAACTGATAAGTACACCATTAGGGAAAAAATGGTGACAGGAGAGATAGATGAGTAGTATTGGTTGGCTGGTGAGCAATTTCTAATATCAGCATTGTCAAATTGTTGCCTGAATCTGAAAAGAACAAGCAAGCATGACCACTCTTGCCTGTCTGTCTCAACAGAATGAACCTTGTCTTTCTGTCACTGTGTATTTCCCTCAGTGGCAAACCTAAATCATTGTCTGTATTCATGCAAATCAAGTCCCTCCACACTCCTTATTAGAGCTAGGCAGAGCCTCACTGGCACACCCTGAGCAACGGGAAGTACAATCAACCTTTTGTTGTGATAGAGTCACAGGCCTTGTGTTTTATGGAATCAAGTGAGAGATTAGATAGCTTTGTAACACGAATTGCTAAATGGTCTTGCTAATACAAAACCCAGAGCCAGATATTGGGGTGAAAGCTGAAAATACAGAGGGATAGAACAAGCCAGCCACAAGTTCTTACTGCTAGAAAACCCTTAGCCCAAGAGAGCTACTTCCTGTACACTCATGCCTTGTATGCCTTTCTGAGTCCTGCCATCTTACTTCCTCTCTCTGCCCAGCTTCATCACTTCCTCTCTCCACCAGCTTTATCACTTCCTATCTATCTCTACAGACCTCCAGACAGCTAACTAGTGCTGGGATTAAAGGTGTGTACCACCACTACCACCACCACCACCACCACCATCACCACCACCACCACCACCACCACCACCACCACCACCACCACCACCACCACCACCACCACCACCACCACCACCACCACCACCACCTTGATGTTCCCACTGTGGCCTTGAACTCACAGAGATCCAGATGAATCTTTGCTTCCCGAATGCTAGGATTAAAGGCTTGTGCTACCACTGCCTGACCTCTATGTTTAATATTGTGGCTGGCTTCTGATCCTCTGATCCCCAGGAAAGCTTTATTTGTTAGATCACAAATAAAACATCACCATATAACTTCATTTGAAAGATTCAGGGAAATATTTATTGTAGAAGGGTGTGTGTGGGGAAAATGGAAAAGAGATGGGGTGGGGTTAGTAAAGTTATCATTTGAGAAAAGAGGTAGGAAAAGAGGAAGAAAGGAAATAGAACAATGATTATGAGTTATGGAGTTCAGTGGAATGCCAGATTTTCCTCAGCATCATATTACTGAATAAACTCCACATTCCCCCAATGGTTTATGGTTTATTTTAACTTCTGATGTGGGTCAGTTTATCCAAGTGAACACTGACCTACCCCATTCTGTTTATTTATCTGCTTTAGGAGTTGCTGAATTACTGTTATGGTTTACTGTTATGTAATGTCTCTCTTATTCTATGTTCAATGCCTAGTCATCTGCAGTGGGAGGTGAAGAAATTTTAGGAGGTAGAGACCACTTGGAGGAAGTGGGCATTTGTGACATGCCTTGAAAAGTACATCTACTCCCTGTCTTTGCCCCTCTTCTCTGTCTCTTTTCTTCCCTGTCATGAGCAAAATAGTCCCTCTCTACCCTTGCCCACTTCTGCTTTAGTGATGTTTTACCTTTCCAGTGTTCAAAGCCAGCAAAGCCATGGACAGAAATACTCATAGCCAAAACATGTCTTTTGTTCTGGAAGTTGTCAGTGCCAGGTCATACCTACAAAAAAAAAAAAAGTGACTACTAAATCTACGTACTAGCATCTGGTACTTAATGCTAATAATTGGATCTGAAAAGTCAGAAATTCTGTATGAGAATCTCAATTCTCTTAATTTCTCATTTGGGTTCTTTGACGAAATACTCTGACAAAAGATAGGGTTTGTTTTAGCTCACAGTTTCATATTTGAGTCTATCATGATGGGGAAGTCACAGAAAAGCATAAAAGGAAACTGATAAGTACACCATTAGGAAAATATGGGACCTTTGAGGGGTATGATCCCTCATTCATATAATGTACTAATATATATTTTCCTTCATCCATATATCATATAATATCCATATTATATCCATAATCAGAAAGCAGAGTAATAAATGCATTCATCTCACTTTCTCTATTCTTATGCAATCCAAGGTCCCCTGCTTAAGGAATGGTGCCACCCCTACTGAGAAGATCTTCCACTAATCAAGATAATACTCCCACAGACATGCCCACAGGCCAATCTAATGTGGACAGTCACTGATTGAGACTCCCTTTCCAGGAGATTCTAGATTGTATCAAGTAGACAATTAAAACTCATCTTCACACTGGACAATATCCTATTCCCCATTATTGTAAAATAAGAAATGGAAAATTATAAATTCCTCAGCAAATTCCCCAAACTTAACATCCAGTATAGCTTCTTTTTTATCAGTTATTTTATAAAATATAAAACTATTTTTTAAAACTAATTTTTGTTTGTTTTGAGACAGGATTTCACTATGTAGCTCTGGCTGTCCTGGAACTCATTGTGTAAACCAGGCTAGCTTCAAACTCATGAGCTCTGCCTGCCTCTGCCTCCCAAATGCTGGGATTAAAGGTATATGCCACTATGCCCAGCTAGTATACAACTATTTTTTAAAGCAGCAATGTAGAACTTGAAAACCATTGTCTACCAGAGAAAGGTAATAAGACCTTATATCTGAAGGCACCACACAGTTTGGTTCCAGGACACAAGAAAATCAAGTTGGAACTGAGCCAGAAGCTTTTTCCCTGATGGCTAGCCCTCATGTGCAAAAAGGTGTTCTATGCACAGTGTTGGCAGAGAAAATTCATGAATTGTCTACACAGATGTGTACACTATCAGCTACAATGTGGACATATTAGGCAGTGTGTGCTCACTGGTGCAATAGTGGTATGACTCTTTTGGTGCAACCAACCACCTTGTGAATGGATTTGAAGTCCCCTCTACAAGAGGGAATACATGCTTGATAATTTAAACCTGATCAAAAATCCACCCCTCTAAAAATAAGAGGACATGGAGTTGGGTGGAAGAAATGTTGGAGAATCTAAAGGGGGGATGGAGTTTGGATATAAGCATTACTCTAAGTATGTATGGATTCTTTAAGATTTTAAAAATTATTTTGAGTTTTCATAAAATAATAAGTCCTATGGCTGAGGAGCTTACAGGCCAGGGATGAGGTAGAGATAGATCTGCTATGAAATGTTGTAGTGGGTAGCCATTACAGCTTTGATCTGGAAGTTCCAACCCTCACTGAGGCTTCGGCAACTGTCATGCCTACAAGGTGGGGCCAAGGGAGGCACCTGGAGACTGGAGATCTGAATGGGCCAGAGCTCTCTCTGTTCCTGGACCCTGGATGGTGGAGGTAGACCGAGCAAAGCTCCAGAGAACACCGCTGGACAGCAATACACCTTCCCCAGACCCCATGACCTACCTATCCCTTCATTTGTAAGTTACCCACTAAATAAATCTTCCTTTTAACTATGTGGAGTAGCCTAAATAATTTCACCATTATCTGGCACCCAATGTGGGGCATGAACCCATGACCCTGAGATTAAGAGTCTCATGCTCTACCGACTGAGCTAGCCGGGCTTTTTTTTTTTTTTTTTTAAAGATTGATTTATTTATGATGTATACAGCATGTATGACTGCAGACCAGAAGAGGGCACCAGATCTCATTACAGATGGTTGTGAGCCACCATATGGTTGCTGGGAATTGAACTCAGGACCCCTGGAAGAGCAGTCAGTGCTCTTATCCTCTGAGCCATCTCTCCAGCCCCCACTATATATTCCTACCTCTGTTATAAATATCTTGTGTATTATCACAATTTCGAAGTCATCATTCTTTATCATACATTTGCTTATAGACTGTTTACCTTGTTTACATGAAGCCTTAGTCCATAGGTTATTTCGGTAGATAAGACTTATAGATTTATAGTCACCTATGCTTGTCTTGTCATCTCTATAGTTATGTTAGTTAGGTTATCCAGATTTACAGATACATAGGTCAGATGAACAGGTAATCTTCAAACACTTCATAGACCTAGAGAATATGACATTTTAATAACTTAGAATTCTGTTGACGTGAGACACAATTGCTCCTGGCAGCACCAATTTGATCATGAGAGAATGTTGGGCTTCTAAGACATTTCCATTTGGAAGTTTGTCTTCTTAGCACAAAATGGCCTACTGGGCAAAGAACTGCCCTTGCCTCAATTGCTGACAGTACGAATGCAATACTGTCCTTTCTGGACAAGCAGGACACAAGGAAAGTGACCACTGTACTCTGCCAAGACAAGGTAAGATAGTCTTTCAGAATTCCTGCTTCTGGAAATGGTCTGTCAGATACTCTAGGCCTGTAGCCAATTTGAATGCACCAACAATGCTGAGAAACATTAGGTGACTGTCCAGGCTGCCAGCTGTCTTGGTCTACTCTTGCAAGATTCCCGAAAGTTGCTTGCATCCATCTACCATTTCTCAGGTACCATTATATTCCTTCTCAGGTCTTTGATGGGATTGAAAACTAGCAGTTATAGTTACAACTTAGAATATATATATATATATCTTAGATAGAACATATGAAGTATTAGATTCAGGTTCTTTAGGATAGGACACCTTTTGGAATGATCTTTGTAATATTCCATTTATCCATGCTCTATACTTCTCTGGATTTTAGTATGTGTTTCTTGCTTGATATTGTTTGCATTGGTTGTAGTTCCATCTTATCTAGGTCATTATCCCTCATTATTCCTGGACAATATTTGATAACCATTCCTTTGTATATAGTCGTGTATTGGGTTAGAACCCTCTTATTTAGACAAAAAGGGGGAGATGTAGTGGGTAGCCATTACAGCTTTGATCTGGAAGTTCCAACCCCCATTGAGGCTTTGGCAACTGTCATGCCTACAAGGCAGAGCCAAGGGAGGCACCTGGAGACTGGAGATCTGAATGGGCCAGAGCTCTCTCTGTTCCTGGACCCTGGACGGTGGAGGTGGACCAAGCAGAGCTCCAGAGAACACCACTGGATTGCAATACACCTTCCCCAGACCCCATGACCTACCTATCCCTTCATTTGTAAGTTACCCACTAAATAAATCTTCCTTTTAACTATGTGGAGTGGCTTTAATAATTTCACCAATAAAATGTTTTGCCAAGTAAACATATAATCAACTGCCTTCTACATATTCATGTTTATACCAAAAGATTAGTGTTCTTTTCCATCTTGGGCAAAGAGGCTTCTTAATTAATACAGACCCATAATTTGTCAAAGTGCTACAAGGCATGTATAAGATGGAGCCTATAAATATTCCATCACAAATGAAGGAGAGGTTCATGAGACCCTCCCAAAGAGCTATTGTTAATTAGTGCTAGCTGGAGATGGGAGAGACAGTCATTTTCTTCAGTAGTATAGCCACTTTTAAAGCTCTCTGATCTCCAGAAAATAACCGCCAACCTGCACATCTGTGAACAACAATAAGCAACCCTAATTAAACTCACTGGAACCAAAAACAAACACACAAAAATAAAACCCAGACATGGAAGTAAGAGGACTGACTGGTTAAGAAGAAGGGATTCTGGAGTGGGAAGGAATATGAGAATAAATGTAGATGAATACAATCAAAATATACTATATACAGGTATGTTAAAAAATAAATGTTTTATTAGAGATAAGAAATACACAGTAAAGAGGTAAAAGTTAAAACTATACTATGATAAGCAGAAAAATTAAATTAGTTAGAAATAATGTACACACAAAGAAATTATTAAAATGAAAGAATATTCCATGATAAATTATATTTACCAAGTAAGATATAGACTTAAAGAAAACTATGAATAGAGGATTTAAATGTGTAGTTATTTAGTGTAGTGTTCCAAGTGTCTCACATAGGATCCTGACACTCTGTCTAATTGTATACAGAATACAATTTAAAGGGTTTTTCATATCCTGTTGTGTAATGTGTTGAATCAAGTTTGGGAGAAATTAATTAACAGTGCCCAGTAAAACATGGTATGTATATTCTATCTATTTGGGTATAAGAAAAATATACTCCTGAGAGTGATGTGTCGTGTTTATGTTTACTAGTACCACACCACAGTACTGTACCAATGTTGTGTTATACAAATTAGTAATACCAGGTAGAATTTCCTAAAATGGACAGTGTATTGCAGTTATTATATAAACGGTTTTCTATGAGACAAAGAGTAAATGAAGACTACACTATTTTGGCAACTTTTATGAGTCTCAAACTATTTCAAAATAAAGCATATATCTTTTAACCTTAACTGGGAAGACTGGACAGGACATGTGTATTTGTTGTTATCGTTAATATAGTATTGTGCTCATTGCAATCACAAAATCAACTGGGTATAATCTTTTGACCTAGGCAGAAGGGCTTTTATGTTAAAAGTTACTAGAACACACAGATTATCACAGTCTGATTAAATTTCTCCTATAGGAACCAAACTTCATAGACAAGAAGGAACTAATAAAGCATTTACATAATTTGACAAATCAGACTGATACAGTGAGTGGACTACTGGTTTGTAGCTATGAAATGTGATGATCACATTTATGTTTTTACAGATAAAAGGAATAATTGATAGAGCAGTTTACACAATTTATGTTTCCATAATTTCTTTCCTAAGAGTATTGCATCACTAACTGTATGTTGATATCTGTTTCAGTGAGCAAAGGAGATTGGAGGGAAGACAGGTGATGGA